TCCTGCGCCATTTCGACATTGAGGAGGCAAAAGGAAATTTGGGACCGGACAACCCATGGGGATCGCAGGGCCCTGGGAATGAGTGAGTGATATCTACATGGTGAAAGCAAATTCTGCAGCCCAGGTTCCTGGTGTCAGTTTGTAGGGCTTTCTTGGGACTGTCAGGGCAGCAAAAGTTTGAGATGGGGGCACCATCGATCTGGGACACATCCTTCGATGTCTGGATTTTTTGAAGTCAGCTTTTTACTCAGGGCCACAGGGCCCTGGGCATATACTCTGTCCCTTTTCCCTGGGAAAGAAAACTCACCAGTCCAGGTTCCTGATGTCAGTTTGTAGGGCTTTCTTGGGACTGTCAGGGCAGCACAAGTTTGTGGTGGGGTCAGCTGGGGCATTGGACACATCCTTTGACATTTGGGTTTTTTGAAATCAGGCTCCTGCTCAGGGGCAGGGGCCCCTGGACACGTACTCCGGCTGTTTTCCCTGGGAGAGAAAACTCACTTTGTGAGCTCTTCATTCACTTCCACAGAAAAATTGCTGTAAAGGGTAGGACTGGGAGTGTTATCATATATCTGGTTTGCCAAGTGAAAACTCACAGTGGATAGTTTTATTAGTATAAAACTAAGGAAGTGGGAAGAGGATTTTTATTTTTGAAGTTCATTGATTAACTACAAGCCTGTCAGAGGCAGTTATCCTATTTTAAGAAAATTGTAAATTCATCAGGAAGCAAAATAGTACCAAAGATAGCAGTGCCACCATAAGGTTTTAAGTGTACAGGTCTGTGATCCCGTCTTTCACTGGTGGGCACTGGCAGGTATTGTTTTGTTGTCTTTGACACATTTTGGTATCTGCTACTATGAGGGGGCTTTTATATTTTCAAAGCCTAAGGCTAGTAAAGCAGAATACTTCCTGCAATATGTTGATTACAAGTGAGTGTGGTGTATAGATAAAGAAATATCTATTATTTGCTGTCCTGCCCTCCTTTCTGTCCCTGCCCAGTACAATGTTTTGGAAGATCAACTTAAGTAAGATTGTCTGTCAAGTAAAAGAAAATGTAAATTTCTTTTTATATGTACTGAAATAGCAGCTTCTGTTGCCTTTGGAATCAAATATTCTTATATGCTTAGAAGTTAGCATGTGAGAATAAGTTGCTCTTCAGTTCTGCCAGTGTTGCGACTTCATATTTAGGTAATTATATCCATAAACCAATTTCATTACCTCTGTAAAAACTGGATATATTGAGGATGGTTTCTAGTAAACTGAGATAAAGTATGTTGGAGTGCCTTACAAGTTATTTTTAGAACAGGGCAACATGTAGCCATGAAAAAAGAGAATTTATTTTTTATATATGTGCCAAGAAATTATTATATGCTTCGATTGAACTTATCCTCGATGTTGTGGTCTGGATACTTGAATCACTTTGAGGAATCAACAGGGTGGACAAAGGAAGTGGAATTACTACTGCTAGTGTTATAGGGATGCAACAATATCTGAATGGCTGAGAAATTACTTGTTAAATATTAGAATAATAAATCTATTTTAAGTCAAGATATCAAGATGAATGATGAAGGTTGGATATGGAAAGAGATATGTTAAGTTTTGTGGGGGTTTCTCATTTTGTGTGTATATGTAGATAAAGTTTACATTTTGTTTTTCAGGACTGTTACCACATTTGACCAATTTCCATCTTGAAGATGTATATTGTGGTTTAACAAAACATCCTGGTTTGTTAGTGCTTAATAAGTCCTTAAAGCTGCATATATAGAGGGGGGCTGCTTCAAATCATGAGCTTGTGTAAGGGATGCAGATTTGAGCCATGCTGAATGTAAGTGGCAGTGTCAGGGCCCTTAGACATGCTTTCAATATCTATACCCTGTAGGGCACCTTTGTAATGGCAAGAGAGGCTTTACTGTAACTGTGAATTTAGTTTTCTTTGCTCCTTTTCCAATTCTGTCATACTTGAAAATGCCATTTGCTTCATCTCAAATAACAGTTGAAGAGACAGATGCATGAAATTCACTGCAGTGCAAAGTGAGCTAGAATAAATACAAACTTCTATCCACTAATACAGTCCTGAGTACGAAGCTGCTTTCTGAACTGGTGGGAGCCAGTAAAGGCTGACAGCTGGTAAGAGTGGCATCATTATTATACTGGCTTCTGAGTTTTGATGGGTTTTATCAGGCTAATAATAAGCCCTGATATGTAGTGCCCTTCTGGCTGCCTTTGGGAAACAAATTATTTGGTAATTTTAAAATTAGTTGGTTATAGTGTTCCCATATAAACATGGCTATTCCAAAGCTTTTGTGGCCACAGTTGTGGAATTTCAGTACCACATCCTACTTACAGTTACACACAGTGATCTGGCATTGAAAAATACCAGTGAAAGTATTGTAAAAAGGTCTCTTCAGCAAAATAACTTCAAGTTGGGGATAATAGTACTTCCCAAATTGCTCTCAAATACTTCTCAAACAAACCCAGCAACTAAGGACTCTTCAAAGAAAACTAAGAAGTGTGTCCAGAGCTAATTCAGATCTTGAACAGTCTGTATATCTGAATGCTCAAAAGTATTGAAGTGACAAAAAGTGATTTAAAGTCCACTGGATTCATACTGGAAGCCAAAATAATTTTTTCTGGTAGCCTTAGTTGGCCATATTGGAGGGTGTGGAAGTATTGATTACCTGAGAACTTATCCACATGTGAGGTTCAGGGAAAGCAGATGAGCTGTGGATTGGCAGTGCCAGATCCTCCTCTGGATTACCCACAAATGTGGATTATTTCTTTTTTTTTTATTTTTACATACAAGTTAGAAGGTCCTTGGAAATGAAGGTAAATTGCTTTGTACCTAATGCTTTCAATAGTATCAGCACAGGGAGTTAGTGAGATGTAAATTCACTCCCCAGTGTAATGTGTCCCAATTTCTCCAAGCCCTAGGGCCATCTTATTCCTGAATGAGAGCACCCAGCTAGAGATTTAAATGCATTTATTAAGGTTGCTAATTGTCCTGCTGTTGAATAACTGAAATAATTTCTGCCTTAATGGAGAATGAGCTACTTAATCATGGAGACTGCAGAGGTTCAGTTTGCATCTGGGCTTTGGTTTTGTTTCTTTTTGCTAGAACCTTTCACCTTATTTGGCAGAACATTGGAACACAGACTCTTCCTTGACTTTGAAAGGGACATTTTGAAGTAATATTTCCAATGCTGGACAGCAAACAGTTCTACTTAAATAAATACAAGTGGATGTTAGTTTTAGTGTGAATTGGTATAAGCAAAAATTCAGTGTGATCTATAACCATATATTCCCACCTGCCTTCATTTATCTGTTCTGCCTGGCCATAGATAGGAAGTAGCACACCTGTGCCAGCAGTCAGCTTGGGAATATCAGCTGGGAATGTTGTTTCTAGCTGACTCCTCTTTGCTATCAGGCCCATTCTAAATAAGTCATTGTAAGCTAACTCTTTTTTTGATTATGAGCAATGTTAATGCAGTACAAATTGCATTTGACTAAAAACTTTTAGCAAAACAGTTTTTTCTTCAGTGTACAGTTTAGTCAGGTGCTTTTGTCTCTGATTAAAATACGGCTTGCAGATGTGCTGGAGCAGTATTTCAGCCATGGTGGGGTGACAGCAGCTGTTATCCCATGATGTTGTGTGACAGACAGTGAATTAAGCTGAAAGCAGCAAGCTTTTTTGTGTTCTTCAGTTACAGTAAAACATCTGGATATTGTATGAAGAGAGGGGACCTACTCTGACACTTTCCTGTCAAGGTACACTTCCTCACTACTACCTCCCCAGGAAACTATTTAATGCTAAGAAAAGTTCCTGAAAGAAAAGGAGCCTCAAATAGAAAGTTTTAAGCCTGGTCTACATGTGACGTTTGGGTTGAGAGGTTTTTTTAAATGCATATCACAGAATTACAGATATGTAGACTACATGTGCCAATTCCTGTATTAAAAAATTACTATTTTAGCAGGTTATGGTGCTACAAATATGTTAATCTTGGCATAGTTTTACTACCTAAACTATCCTGCAGTTTAGTGAGATGCTCATCTGGGGTTTGGGTTCTGTTTGTATGTTTTTCATGAGTAGGCCAAGCTGTTTACAGTTGATACCTAATTGCTGTGATTTCCCTTCTGCAAAAGAGTGGCTTCAGGTGCTGTGGGCAGCCTTATCATGCTAGTCCTGTTAGCTGCAGCAGCAGGGCTGAGAGAGAAGTTTTTATAATTAGAAGCCTCATATGTTTCTGCTACTGGGGATGCTGCACCTGAGACTTGGTTATGGTTTGCTGTGAGGAATAAAACCTTAAAAAATAAAAAACGTTCCAGATGCCTTCTACACAGAGCTGAGACCCAGCCCTGCCCTTCCTCCGCGGCTGGACGGGAGCACACGGAGCAGGGGGGCGAGGCTGCCGGTGCCGCCGCTGCACAAAGCCCAGGTGGGAGCGATTTTGCCCTCAGGGCCCTGGCGGGAGGAGCGGGGTCGGCTCCGGGGCGCTGCCCGGGCTCCGTCCGGCTGCAGGGGGGCCTCGGGCCGGGTCCCGAGCCCGGCGCTCGCCATCCACGCCGCGCCGAGCCCGCAGAGCCGGCGGCCGCCGCTGCTGCCCCGGCCGCTGCCTCCGCCCGCCATTGGCCGTGCACAGCCCTTCCCCGCTCCCCTCCCCTCCCGGAGCGGCAGGCGCCGGGCTGCGGGGCGCGGGCGCTCCCCGAGCCAGCGCGCCCGGCCCGCGGCGCCGGGGCTGGGCCGGACCGGGGCCGCCCCCGCCGGCGGCTGAGGTTGAGCCGCGCCCGCGCGCTGCAGCCCCGCAGCCCCCCCCGCCCCGCGCCTGCAGCGGGGACGGGCGGCGGCGGCGGCGGCGGCTGCCCCTCGCCCGCCGCGCCCCGGCCGGGGCCGCGCGGGTCGCCCCGGGCGCAGGGCGGCTCCTCCTCCATGCGCCGCGCTGCCCGCAGCGCCCGGCTGCCCCGCGGAGCGCGGGGGCGGCGGGAGGCGGCGCGGGGCCGCGCGGAGGATGCCGGCGGGCGGCGGGGCGGCGCGGGCCCCCGGCGGGGCGCGCTCCCTCAGCCCCACCGCGCTGTCCCGCAGCCTGTCCCGCCTGCGCGAGCAGCGCGCCCGCTCGCGGGCCATGCTGGCCCTGGGGGTCACGCAGATGGTGCTCGGCTGCCTCATCGTGGCCGTCAGCTTCGCCGCCCTGGCGCTCACCACCTCGGCCCGCGTCCGCCACTCCTGCCCCTTCTGGGCCGGCTTCTCGGTGAGTCGGGGGGCGCGGGAGGGACGGGCGGGACCGCCTCAGGGATGCGCGGCCGGCCGCCAGGTGGGACGCGGGCGGCGATTGCGGCCTCGGCGCCCTCCCCGCGCTCAGGCGGGCAGGTGAGCTCCTCGACCTGCAGCGCCGTGTTCGGCACGGCCGCGGCGCTGCCCCCGGCCCGGCAGCCCCGCGGTGGCACCTCCGCCTCTCCTCTGGAAGGCTGGCCAAGGTGGATTGGGTTTTACCAACAGCGTCGGGCGAAACTTGGGATGACAAATGAGCCGCTGGCGTTGCCTCAGCCGCCGGCTCCATCGGCGCTGACTTGGGCTCACCTTGAGAGCGGCCGGCGCTCAGGGTCTGGCGCGGCTGCGGGTTCAGCAGCGAGCGGAGCGGTGCTGGAGGTGACCAAAGGGACGAGCAGAGCACGAGTGGGGTTTAAGGTGCACACACGGCATGGAAGAGTTGTGCCGGAACGGCTGGAAAGGCCGCGGCTTTGGGGCGCCCTGGAGCCCTGAGAAAAGCTGGGGCTCGCCCCGGGGGAGGCTGCTAGTCTGAGGGAAAAACTTGTTTGTTCTGAGCGCAAATTGGGGTCCTTACGATTCCTTTGTGGTATCCTTGTTCACTTTCTATTGTGTCCTGGCATAAATTTAAAACACAACAAAACAAAAAACCAGAGTTGATAGTCTGACTCAGGTGGTCTCATTTAGTGCTGATCATGAGTGGCTGCATCTGTGTGTGGGTGCAGTGCACACATGGACACATTAGGATAATCCTGCTTCTTGGAAGTTTTTCTCATAAGCAGGGAAATGGGGCTTGACATTTATGAAGAATTAGGCATTTCTGAGGGCACTGGTAACAGACTCTGTGCTATTGGTGAAGATTTGCTCCATTTAATTTAATGCGTTACTGGTTTCAATTATGTTTCTTCAGCTCTTTTAACGGACCAGAGAGTTTTCAGCTTGAAATGTGCTTGTTAGAAACCAGAGAATTAGATAAAATATTTTGGGTTATTTAGTTTTGAGCATGTGGTGGAAATGGTGTAATTTAAAAAAAAGTTAAATTATTTAATATGCTCTTAGGCAGATTATTACTTTTTTTCCCATCAATCCTTCAGAGAAGAAGAGTTTCTTTGGATTAATTATTTAGATATCTTTCTTGATTTTGTTGTATTTTATTGTAGTCTTAAAAAGAAATATGAGTTTACACTAATAACATTGATGTTGTAATAGTCATTCTATTGAATTTGATCCTCTGCAAGATAATATGCAATTATTTGTTCTGATGAGGTGTGAATTTTAGGTTCAAAATCTGGCTGCTTACATATTAATGTGCTACTAAACCAACACAGCTTATGCAGCCTTTGTTTCTTACCTTGACAGAGTGAGTAGGAATATGCATAACTGCTTGTGGATTCCATAAGCACAACTTTTTCAGTAGTACCTTTTCCCCCACCTCCTGTGTTCTGTCTGCAAAGACCCTTCTGGTGGTGGTTGTGCTCCAAGATAGGCTGTTTTCCTTGCTCTGGGTGCTTTCTGCTCTTCTCTCTGTGCAGTGTATTGCACAGAAAATGTGTTTCCCACTTCAATTGCACGCATGCTGGTTGCTCACCAGACACCAAAGCCGTGATTCCAGCCTGTGGCAGAATGGGTGCAAGGCTCACAGAATTGCAGGACTGCTGACTAGAAGGCCTTATTTTCCTGTGTTATCAGAATGGGACAGGTGTACCTTGTTTTCTAAACTAAGAGTTTCCTTTTTGAAAAAATCAATCTACCTTATAAATGAGCTGTCTGAGCATTAGAATAAACTTAGTTTCCTCCTATTATCCTTACCTCTAAGTCTCAAGAACTAAGAGGAAATAGAGCAGTTTTTGAAGCATGATGAGCCCTAAAATTCTTGAAGTTAGTTGATTACTCAGCCCTTTCTAAAAGCCCTTTGAGGTATTTAGTGGATTTAACAAACACTAGATATGTCATCGCTCGCAGCTGAAAAATATTCCTGTGGAAGATTAACAGTGTTTAGCTGGCTTCTGTAAAATGCAGTTAAAGAAATAACTACAGGTGGGTTTAAGTGACATGAGAGAAAAATAATGGAACTGTCCTTCCCCCTTTATTTGGTGCCAAAGTCAGATATTTGCTGCCTTCACACTACTTCCTCCTCACTTCTTGGAAGTAAATAACTGAGTGGTTTGATAATAAACTAGACATTCTGAATCTATTTTATTGTGTGTTTATGTGATATACTGTAGTTTTTAGTCATTAGAAATGCACATTCTAAAAGAGAGTAGTCTTGGCGTTGATACTTTTCAGCAGTCTTTGACACCACATGCCCTGTCAATGTCAATATAAATGAAGGCTTCAAAATTTGTCATGAGTCTTCCAAATGTTTCTGAAAATAATTTCCTAGTGTTTGTAACAGTTTAGCTGGTTGAAAAAAAAAATAGATCAGGCTGCATATTAAACTCGCAGAAAGTTTTGTAATCAAATGCAAGGAAAGGTTCTGATTTCTCCCTTTCTTTTTCAAATTAAATCAAGTGACCATGTAGGTGAGAGCTTATTTAAAGAACAAGGCACCATAATTTCCATAAAGCTTTGAAGAATGTAGAGTTTATTTAAGCAACATCCCATACTATGAACAGGTTATCTTTCATAGCATCATGTTAGGAAGATACTTTTTATCTTCATATATTTTGTATTAAGACATTTTTAAGGTAATTAATCAGAGTCAACCTTACACTGAGCAGAAGGAAATTTGAGGTTTAGATAAGGAGGTACTGGTAAATTCTCTGCATAGGCAGCATTCATTGGCAAGACCTTGCAATCTGTGTGCTGAAATGCTTGGCAGCTTTTCCCGTTGCAGTTTCCTGAGAAAATGGTGATTTCTTCTTCACATTCTCTCAACTGGGCAAAAGAAAATGTTTTTTTCATAGAAGGGAAATGAGCATAAGTGTCTCTGATCCTGTTAAGAACATCAAGAACAGAGTACTAGGTCTCATTTTAATCATGGAAGGATAGATCTCACAATTAGGCTGTTCTGGTAGATCACTGAAAGTATAAGCAGTGACAAGGTTATTTATCTCTCCCATAGGTCTATAGTTGCTTGAATATGAGAAAATATTTGTATCCCCTTTGCCCTTTAGAATGCAAACCAAGTGCCAGTTTGTAGTGTGTTGGTTCTGTACAGGGCCGGGTTGAAGGCAATGCTTCAGTGATGCTCATGGTTCCTGTCAGTGTTGGGACAGCAGCAAACCACAGGCTGATGGAGCTGTGGGTGTGACTGCAAAAGCAAATCTCACTTGGTGAAGTAATTTCTTCAAATTATTTAGAAGTTTGCAGAAGGACGTTTATCCTGCTACCCCCCCATCTTGATTTAAGAAAATTACCAGGCTTAGTTAGAGACTAGAGTCCTCTCTAGTAGAGCAAAGTATTAATAAAATAGTAAACTAAATCATAAGATTACCCAGGTTTCTAAAATTACTCTGGCACTAGAAATCTTAGCAAGTGTATTCTTCTTGTATAAATCTTGCTGTGTATTCTTCTATCTCCTTTTTTATGTATGGTTACTTGGCAGTTGTTGTGTTCTTGTGTAAAAGTGTATTACTGGAAGATCTTGTGCTGCCTTTCCTTTTTAAAGTTTCTTCTCAATTGTGCCTCTTTTCATCCATACCCCATGTTCAGAGCAGATCAATTCTTCTGGTTTAAAAGCATCTTTAATGTAGAATGTTTTCAAGGTTCATGGAATACATACTTTTTTGTGTTTTTGAAAAAGGAAACAGATATAAAGGGAGGTTGTTGGTGTGAACTCAAACCCAACTTTTCTGCTATGGAAAATAGGAAATATGTTATATACTTGTCTACTTTATTAACTGAGAAAGCCGAATGTAGGAGTCTTTTCTGTAATTTTCTGTGCCATTGTACAACATAGGTTTAAAAACCTCAGGTGGTGCTTAAAGGAGTTAACTTTCAAAAACTTCTACTTGTCTGTGATCCTGGCTGTTCCTCACATATAGCAGGTTGTCCTGGCATATTCCTGTACAGAATCATTGTGGAAGTGAAAGGGAGATGACAATAAAGATAATTTGTTAGCAATTGTGTGTTTCCTTCTTTTCTCCATTTCAGCTAAAGGGGTTTTGGTTTGGGTTTTTTTTTCCCCCTTCCTTCTATTTTGTTCTGTCTTCTTCTGGTATTTTCCATTATTGCTTGTGGGTAGTCAGGAGGAGTAGAGTGATAGTTGTAGCTTGGGACAAGGAACTTTAAGTTTGCATGGGAAGTCTCTTGCCAACAGCGTGACTGTGAAAGCAAAGCCAAGCTCCTTAAGAGAGAGTAACCTCACTGCTCCTGTGGTGTGATCCAGTGTTCCCTGAACTGGGACAATATGGAACACATTTATTTGTTTATTTGTCTTGGAGATGATCATTTAATGTCTAGGACTCCAAGGGCAGCCTTCTTGTCCACCTGCTGTAGGTATAAATGAAACTCTAACTCTGTGGATATCAGGTGGTTTTTCACAAAATATCCACTGTACTTCTGAGTGTGCTCTGTGAGAACTCTGGATCATCTCTGGGTGTGTGAGAACCCATAGTATGGATTGCTTGGTTGAGTATCCTGGTTCACATACACAGCCTGAGAGCTCAGCCTACAGCTTTCTTGGAGGAAACACTGTTTGGGTGAGAGTATGTGACCAGATTCCTTCTCTGCAGAGGATTGTTCCAGATTCCAAATCTGTGGACTCAGCCATGATGATTAGTTTATTGTGGACAATTTGTTATTCTGTGAAGTTTGCTGCTGAGTCAGCAAATGTTCTATATCTCTAAATATTCACTTTCAGATTTCTGGAGGAGTTTGTATAGCTGGTTTGGCAATGGGGTAAGTAAATTTCCACACAGAAAGTTTTCAGGAGACTTATCAGACCTCTAATTCAGATTATCAAATAGTCAAGCCCAGGGAACAAATTAAACTGATTTCTCTACATGGCTGTTGAAGATCTAATGTCTTTCCTGAAAGATT